TTTCAAAAAATACACCCAAACTTTTCCGTGAAAAATCATCAATAAAAGTAACATAGTACCTAGATCCACCCAAAGACGATGTCGTGGAAGGCCCCCATACATCAGAATGCACATAATCAAGAATCCCTTGAGTTGTGTGCTTCGCAGTCTTGAAACGGACTTTAGTCTGTTTACCAAGAACACAATACTTGCAAAAATCGAGCTTACAGCTTTTGACACCATGCAACAAGTTTCTCTTATGTAATTCTGCCATACCACGTTCACTAAGATGAGCAAGGCGCATATGCCACAATTTTGTCGTATCATCACAGGACTCAACAGAGTGAACTCCACCTGCAACGGTACTCCCTAACAATCTGTAGATATTCCCTGCAGTCATCTTGCCTTTCATCACAGTCAATGCTCCTTTAACAATCCGAATGGTTTCCCTATCCTCGTCAGCCTTAGGGATAAAACCATTCTTGTGCAAAGTGCCCAAGGAAATCAAATTCTTCTTCAAGTTTGGGATATGTCGAACACCACTCAACGTCCGAACGGAGCCATCGTGCATCTTAATTCTGACATCACCAATACCAACAATATTGCAACATCGATCATCACCCAAATAAACCGAACCAGAATTAACCGGCCTGTATGTCAAAAACCATTCCCTATTTGGCGTGATGTGATAAGAACATCCAGAATCAAGAATCCAAGCATCCGTCAATTGTGTCGTTGAAATAGAAAGCATATCACCCTCACTGCAATCAGAAGTATCATCCTCGACCACGTTCACAGACTTGGATGAGCCATCACGCTTCTCATCAGTCTGCTTTTTCAACTTTGGACAGTCTCGCTTCATATGTCCCGCCTCCTTGCACTTGTAACAGTGAATCGTCTTCTTATCCCTGGATTTGGATCTGGAATTCCGCTTCCCGGACCCTACCTTCTCTGGCTTCCGTCCACGATCTTGATTACCCTTGACATATAAGCTATCGGCTTGAGAGCTTTCCCCTGCATTCTGCTTCCGCTGGTTGTGAGCCAACAAGGCTGCAGTAATCTCCTCAACGTTGATAGTCTCTTTCCCATATGTAAGAGTAGTCACCATGTGTTCGTAAGAGGAAGGCAACGAACACAACAGAATCATCGCTCTGTCTTCATCCTCAATTTTCACATCAAGCCGAGCCAGATCAGAAACGATTTGATTGAAGACATTCACGTGTTGCGCCAAATCGTGATCGTCCTGCATCTTCAACCCATACAACCGCTGCTTCAGATACAGTTTTGTCGTTAAGGATTTGGACATAAACTGACTTTCCAACTTCCTCCAAATTTCGTCTGGAGACGATAGATGCATGACGTGATACATGACCTCGTCCGCCAAGCATAATCGTATGGTTCCTGCCGCTCGCTGCTGCAATTCTTCCCAATCTTCCTCATCCATCGACGCCGGCTTTGTAGGTCGCAAAGCCTTCAAGATCCCTTGCTGCGCCAATAGATCCTTCACCCTCGTTTGCCATAATCCGAAGTTACCCTGACCATCGAATTTCGCGACTTCGAATTTTGCTCCTGACATCTGATACCAATTATTGAATAAAACTTCTAGCGCCGCCTAGGCACCGAGGACGTAAGCACATTGCCGAACCTCGTAAAATTCTCGTGTTCTTTCGTTTTCTTTACCCGTTTTCGTCAACAATAATTTTTGCAATTATCGAATGTTATTAGAACTGACTTCAGAGAAGCTGCCCTTTGATGAAGAGAATATCAATTTAGAGTTGGCCATTTGCCGAACCCCATGGCGACTTAGGGTACCATCTTCCTAATCAAGCTTCTAGATGAGAATTTTTATAAAAAAATGACAATAATTAACCCTTTTAATACAAGTATAAAGTTTGTTAAGGGTTAACTGATGTACGATAAAATTTCTGCAATAATCATGAACAAAGGATATCATATTAAAAGAAACAACACAGTACTTGCATACGTCCTTCACAGTACAGCACAACTAAAGGGAAAAGCAAACAAGTTTTTCAGCAAACTATATGAGTATGTAAGAGAGAGAGAGACATAATGACTAATTTAATTTAAAAGATGTCACTGAGAGTAGGAAGCTTGATCTCTCCTTTCTTAGAAATAGGGATAGTAAAGTTCCCAATGATACGGAGATCAATGGTAAGACCCACCCCCAATTCATAGTCTATCCCAATCTCCACCAATATCCTTTGCCAAGCTTACCAATATGTTATACCCACGTCCAGCATTGTCGTGTCGTTGCCTTTCAACGACCCTTGGTCCGGTATTGTCCCCGATGCTATCTCTCTCTTTCCAAGTGTTAGGTATGATTCATAAATATATTGGTAAAGAGGACAGATGATGGAGCGGAGTGTGTTAGGAAATAAAACGAGTAATTTTCTTATAATCATATTAGTAAGAATGTAAAATAAAAACGAAAAAATAATACCTGAAATTGATAACGGAGTTCGGCCAATTATGCTTACGTCTCCAGACTGCTGCAGATCTTTTAGTAAAGAGAAAATTTACATATGTTTACAAAACACTCAAAACTCACAAGAAAACTCTCTAACCTCTTTAGTAGTGAGAGAAAGAAATGATTTGGGATGATATTGAAGCTAAATGAGTTATAATATTTATAGTTAAAGTTTAATGACTAATCTTGTAAATACCTTAAAGTACATATACTAAATTTCTAATTTTTTCTTACTCAAATTCAACAAAATCAACTCCACCAATTTTGACTAATTAATTAGCCGCCGACTACTTTGAATTGTTGGCTACTTTGAATTTAAACAGAGTGAGCGGAGCGTAGCGAACGTCATATGTCTTTACAAAGAAAGTATTGTAGTGTGAGTTACGATTATGTGGGTTTGGGGTTTCTGCGGTACGATACAAGATTATTTTTGTAAATATGTAACAAGGTTTATTTATTATAAAAGGAGATGTAATCAAAACCTATGAGATATTGAATAAAAATTCAAGTGCCTCCTAAAGCACCGAGGACGTAAGCATATTGCTGAACCTCGTTAAAATTCTTGTGTTCTTTCCGTCTTATTTACCCGATTATTCATCGCCAACGCACAAATGATCAAAATCAATTGGATGATTTGTTTCCCAAAAAAAAGGAGGAAAGATAATTAAAGAACAAACCTTCCAGCACTGTTGAAAGTGTAAGAGATCTCACAAATAGATTGTTCATTCGGTTAATTTGACGGTCAAATCGATCGAACTATCATTAATCGATTTTTTTTTCTTTAACCGTTAATCAAACAGAATTTTTTTTTCGAAAATATTAACCGAACCGAATAAATTTCGGTTAATTCGGTTAATTTTCGAATTAATCAATTTTTTTTAAAATTTTCTAATTTATATAAAAATTAAATATTTTATAATTCAAAAAATCAGTTTATAATTAATTTTAAATAATATATAATTATAAAATATAAATTTTATATAATTTTTTTAATTAATTAATATTGATTTAGGTTTAAAAGTTATTGGATCTTAAATTATTAATTGGGTTTTAAATGATTTGGGCTGAGCTCATATGTTATATATAATATATTTAATAATTTTTAATTCAGAAAAATAGTTTACAATTAATTTAAATAATATATAATTATAAAATAAAAATTTTATATAATTTTTTAATTAATTAATATTGATTTACGTTTAAAAGTTATTAGATCTTAAATTATTAATTAAGGTTTAAATGGTTTGGACTGAGCTTATATGTTATATATAATATATTTAAAATTTTATTTCGATTAATTCAGTTAATTAACCGATTTCGAATCGAATTAATCGTTAACCCGAATATCCAAAAAAATCTTAATCGTTCTTCAACCGAATTAATTCGGTGATCAATCGAATTAACCGAATTAATTCAATTCGATCGATTAATTCGGTTAAAATCGAATTTTAAACACCCTACTCACAAATGGGGATAGAATGGCTATAGGGGTTGTTCACAGAGACTTTAGCCAGATACTTGATGTTCTCACGGCTCACGTGTTTCAGATCAGCGTCGGTAACATCGGCTTCTGGCTTCTTTATATTGGCCACCTTCTCCGCCGCGAAGTTATCAGCTTTGTCCACCAACTACGACATTCCGTACCAACTAACTGTAGGTGTTGTAGATTTTGGATAGTTTGATGTTCTGACGATGTAGTCTGAGTTCCCAGGTGGTGGTGGTTTTGCGGTTTTTTTTTTTATATAGGGGGAGGGAGGCTTATGGGTTTGTGCCACGTGTATTTGGGACTGGATTGCTGGATCAGTTTACTGGAAACACGTACGAGAGGATTGATATTACTTTATGGTTCTATCCTTTTCCTTTCTTTCTTTACACATGTCCCACGTTTTGTGAGAGGTAACTTTCAAAGGAAGTGGTATTTTCCATAGTTGATAAGTTTTTGAGAGAATGTATAATACTCTTTTCGCTTAATGGCTATTTTTGTAATTTGTAATAAATTTAATTTATTATTTTAGTTCTTATAATACTTTTACATCAATTTAACCTTTAAAATTATTTAAGAAAATCATTCTAATTTAGCCTTTAATATTATTTAGGAGAATCATTATAACCCTCAAAATCCGTTGATCATTTTAACTAACAAAATCGTAAATCTTCTACATCGATAGAGTAAAGGATTATGATAAAATATTTATTAAATACAACGATTAAAAAATATTTTCAAAAATTTTATAATTTATTTCAGTGAGATTATATTAAAGTTTTGGGGATTTTTTTCCTAACCATTATTTTTAATAAATATTTTATTATTTATTTATTTTAATAAATATCGCATCATCATCAAGTCACGTCAGTAATATCGATAGACTAACTGTTTTATTAGTCAAAATGGATTTCAAGGGCTAGGATGATGTCTCTAAAAACCTTTGAGAGCTAAAATGATACGAACATATCATACAGACGAAAATGATAAATTGAGTAGTTTAAAACCGTAATCCAGTCTCCCTTGCATTGATTTACTCAATAGTCTCAAAGAAATTGAACACGTTCAGTTGTTCTGCAACTAAAATTTAAGATAATGCAACCGCGTGATCTGCTGATAGAGTTTTTGAACGAAGTTTTAGTTGCTCAATAATATACACAGACAAGACGCTAATTAGGAATTCAGAACAAAGGCTTCTTTCCATTGAGCATCCCCATCAACTGATCAAAAACTTGCCCACCTGCATCGCGTAGCCCTGAATGCATGTATTCATTAGTTACCCATAACCTTATTCCTGCTATCTGAGAAGCTGTTTCCATCACCAGCTTGAAGTTGACATACATATCCTCATAATATACAGCAGCTGCTACTGGTACCTGCTCGCATTTTAGATAATTAGTAAAAGCATTACTACCTGATTCAAAATGAAGTTACAGAAGAAAAAAATGCGGATACTATCGTCATCGTACCTTGTTATCTTTCAAAGCAGCGATATCGTACAATGGAGGCCAATCTTCCTTCTCAGCCAATATATGAGTGGCATCCTTGAAAGGCCTCAAAGCTTCACTTTCATCAAACATCCATGGATATATCATCTGCAGAAATTCAAAACCACATGCATCAACTAGCAGCTTAAATATCATTGACAAAACCACGGCAGAGAACTGCACTCAGAAAATTGATTTGTAGGCCACGAACTACTCTTTAATTGTTCACAGCCACAACAATCATAGAAGATTTGCCTTCAAGATAAATATTCAATTTTATAGTATCATCACCACTCTGATTCTTCAAAATGCAAGGGGATACAATGTTTACTTAAACTTATGCATCAACTAAGAAAAGGTTAAAAAATTTGGCATTATTTAAAAATAAGAAAGACTTACAATAACATTTACCTCAACAGTTATTTGGTTTACTAAATACTTGGGAGTCAGGGTGTCCGATATGTCAGTGCTAGTCTCTAAAACTGACCACAGTGCAGGCAATGATCAGCATTGCCTCTCAACACAGGGATGCCAGGAAGTCGAACTAAGCAAGTAATGGAGCCTCACTCTGTTATGAAATTGATGTCGATGATAGAAAGGTATACAAATATCTCCTATATCTCGGAGAATCTGCTGGCCTTTTAACTTATTTGAAACTAAATAAAAAAAGTAACTGGGTTTTCACGATAAAAGGTTTGAGCTTGCTCTAGTGTTTTCAGTTACAGATCGTCACTTCAAACTTATTGATCAAATAAACTTGAATATTTTAATGCAAGTTTGTAAGTTATAGTCATCCAGAAAGCACGAAAGTATTACCTCCCCCGTAAAAAGTACGGGACGTCCTTCTTTTGCAGCCTTGATTGCATCGAATTTGTTCTCATGGTCAGCCCTTACTCTGTGAGCAGACCACCGCGATGAAGCACCCTTTAGAACACAAAAAAAAATTAGGATCAAGTTCAAATAGCAACCTAATTGATACAAAGGATTAGCTTATCCGAATAAATGTGCATTTGCAACTTAAGCATTGTTTAACCAGCAACCACAAACATTGTTGCATTCTTTTCTGATTCTTAGAGGCCATGCTCAACTTTACAAACTATACCATTAAACACAAGAAAGCAGTCTAGAGAACATGGAAGCTTACCTGACAGTATATTGACTCGTGGAGAATTGCATATAGTGGATTTGTACCAAAAGACACCCATGTTTCGAACTGTGTAAATGAATTTAGATATATCCATTAGATAGAACCTCAATTAGTGATCAATAAGGGAAAATCGGTTTTCCTTACAGCATTTAGAAAGTATGAGCTGATCTGCTTAGGTGCTCCTGGAACTAAAATTGGATCCCAGACCCTCTCAAACCTGTAGTTGTTAAGGAAAGATGAAAACTAAAATATAATATGTTGCACGACATTAAGTTACAAGTTCTAAAGGATGGAGTTAAAACGTATGAATTATGATGTCTTACAGATAATGCAATCGTTCAAAACCTGCGCTTGATCCTAAACCGGATAGACCAAGAAATTGCAGCCCCCTGGGGGTTAAGATTCCCCCAGATGGAAGCTGTACCTGCAGAACAAGGAAATTTGAAGAAATGTTTAAGACACGGTTTTAGCTTTTAGGTAGAATGAGAAGATCATATGAGGAAGACCATCACCCCGCCTCCTTCAGATTCTGCCAGAAAGGTAACAACATCTCTGACTATTTCAATATCCTGAGGGAACCTCTTATAGTATTTTTCATTCTGACAAATAAGTTGTTCAAAGCAAGCTTTATAAACAGAATCTGCAGTACATCCATCTCCAATTGGAGGTATCCCTCCCGTTAGAAGCACTTGTTTCAAACCTTGGGGTGCAAAACTCAGATAAGTAACTCCGCAAAAGCCACCATAACTCTACACAATCAAGAAAACAAAGGATAAGATTAACAGCATGGTGATATGCAAAATGTAATTAAGCACAAGCACGATCACCAAGAACAGAGTATTAACTATAGTACCTGGCCTAAAACGGTCCAAGGCTTAGCTTCGGGAACGAGACGAACTCGGATGAATTCAGCGTCATTGACAATGTTGTCGGCTCGGAAATGTGTCAAGTAGTCAGCCAGCTTTTGGGCAGACTTTATTTGCTGCATAGATGACGGAGCCAAAGGGGTTGATAAACCTGTTCCTCGCTGCAATTGAAAGCGGAAAACATCAAGGATTCAAAGTATAAACAAGCACAGAGTTTCAAAACAAACATCTTTCAATGAAACCATGCCTGATCCATCAATATAACTCGAAACTCTTCGCATGCTTTAAGTATCCATCCACTGCCTTCAGTTGGTCGAGGGCATTCAAAACCAGGCCCTCCTTGAAGGAATAAAAGGTATGGCATTGGCTGCCCCTCTTTCCCAACTGAAATCCAATTTAGCGTTAGACATTACTTAAAAACTTACACAATCAGTTGATTTTCACTTCCGTATATTAACATTGTTATTTTTTTTTTGAAAACCCAAGCTAAATTGAAAGAGATATGAATCAAACAGTGATTTATTAAGAAAATAAGTAAATTAAACAATATTGACTAAATTAAAGTTTAAGGGGAAGTAGTGGGATTACCAGCGACGACTTCACGAGCGAAAATGGATATCTTCGAAGAAGCATCACGATTTTTATAATCGAGAGGGACCATAAATCGGTGGTCGCGGAGTCGGAGGTCCGGCACCGAGCACCATTTCCCGGCGACATGTTCCGGCGTTGAATGACTAATGGCGTCGGATTTGGACACGGACATGGTGACGAGTGCACGAAATGGAGTCCGGCGAAGACGAAAGAGGCGGAGACTGGCGGATCGGAGTGGCGAGAGAGTCGGGGAGATAGATGATGAGAAGGACAAGTCGAAATAAAAGAGAGGCTTTATCAAGGAAGGTGACGCGTGAATTTTCAACATTTTCGGGATAGTGAAGGCTCGCGATGCATAGAAATTTTAACTCATCAGAACGACACGTGGATTTCAGTTTGACCTTGTTGTGTTAGATTTTTTTCATAAACTTCAGCCGTTGGATGCCAAGACTTTTCACTATCACTTCTGATCTTAGATGGAAACTGAACACGCCTGCAAGAAAAATGAACACTACCTCCGCCGTCTCCTTAAACGCCAGCCGTCTTACTACCTCCTCCACTGTCGCCTCCGCAAGAGGATAAATTCAGCTCCTCCTCGAAACCCAACTCCAAGAAATCGCTGGCCGCGGTGAATTCGCCGTCAAAGTGCTCGATGAAATGCTTCAACCATTATCCGATGTTCCACCTGATGATGTTACTGGGGATATTATTTTTTACGGGTTATCGAATAGAAATAGAAAAGGGGTGGACTTGATCGAAAAGAACTCATAAAGTTGGTTTTACAACTTGGGAAGCATTGTGTTTTCCCAAATACTAATTGCATAACCCATTTGGTTTCTAAGTTATGTAGACGGGTGAAATTCAATCAAGCTTGCAATTTGTTGAATGAACTGCTAAGACTGCAAGCGCCTCTGGAAACTCCTCCTTTCAATGCACTTTTGACCGGTTCAGGGAGATGTTGAGATGTTAATGGAAGAATCTAAGCGGGAGAAGGGAATATTATTCTCTCTAAATACTCAGATTCAAACAGTTGCATGTGTACGAGGTGTATGTGTTGTCAATTGTCAAGAAAGATTATGGAGAGACAATTCAAAAAAATAGAGATGTTAATGGAATGATTACAGTTTTGGCTGAGATGATTGATCGATGGATTTTGTAAAGTTGGAGATATTGAGAGAGGAAAGGAACTGCTTGACAAGATGATTGAAGAAGGGTGTTCCCTTATGTTGTATCTCTTAATCCATTGGTGGATGTTATGTGCATTGAGGAATAGGATCGATACTGCAATTGAGTTCTTCAATGACATGCAGGGGGAAGGACTAAAGGGCAATGTGGTTACTTGTACTACTATAATTCCTGCTTTCTGTGATGTTGGCAATTTCAATAAGCCGATTGATCTGTTTGATCGAAGGTTGAGAAGCGAATGCTCTGTTGATGTTACCATTTACCATAAATTGATCTATGGTCTTTGCAAAGCCGGGCGGATGGATGATGCCCACAGTGTCTTGTTGAAATTTAAACAAGGTGGCGTCTGCCCTGACATTGTATGCTACAATGCTCTTATTAATGGAGATTCTAACAGAATGGCTTTCTGCGGTTGGTGAATTGAAAAAATTGAAAAGCTTCAAACAAGGAAACAAGGCTTCTGCATCGACTACATAAAATGTCTGCAAGATAAAGTTCGTGTTATCGGATTATTTACTGTGATGAGTCGATCACCACCTCTGGAAATGGAAGATATCAGAAAATTGCTCTTTCAAGTTTTGCAGTCTGCATCTTTTTGTTAATTTAATTGTTTTATATAGTATTTTATCTGTAACTGAGAAATCAAGAACCTATACAAGAAAGGAAATCGAAGAGGTAATGATGCTGATGAATTAGTGATCAATTTCCCAGTTTAACTGTATCAGAAAAATACTAAAATCAAGTTCCTAAAAGTAATACTTCTCCTAACTCTGTAGCTAACTTTACCAGAAACGGAAAACTATTTTCCTGGACTCGTTAATGGAGTGGAATCCTATGGTACTAAAATAAATGCGTTGTTGGCTTCTAGCATATCAAAAGCTACTGTTCCAGGGTGATATTTAAAGGCCACCGGCGGCAGTAGTTGCATTGTTGGCAATCCAAGGAAGGTCAAAACTTGGCTGAAAACGATCAGATAGGCAATTTCCGGCAATCATGTCGGCGAGTCCTTCTAAATCATCAAAGAAATCATAACTCACCGCCGTGTTCGACATCACAAAATCATCTTCCCCTTCATCTTCAACCAAATCCTCTCCACTCTCCACCTTTGTACTACTTTGATCCACAAGCTCTTCATCCACGTAGGTCGCCGGAGACGAGCTGCTGGCAGGTTTGGCCGATGACGGTTTGATGGAATCACCGGCGTTGACAGTTTGTGGGTTCAAAGGCTTTTGACGAATGCTGCCGGCGAGCGAATTGCGGTGCGCCGGAGCAAGGTGGTTATGTTCAGCTGTGTATGTGACTATGAACGTGGACGGGTCGGATCTGTTTCGTTCCACTTGTTTTCTGGCCAAACATCCCTTTGAAGTGCTGCATTTGTAATAGCCCCTGTTATTCATCGAAGAAACAAACAATCAAAGCTTTAATCAAAATATCCAATCAAAAGGACAAAAAACCAAACTTTTTACAAATCCAACATGAAAACAGACAAAAAAACATGATTTTGTCCCCTTTGTAAAGGAGTTTACCTTGGACATGGAGAGCCTTTGATAGGTTTCTGACCATATTTTCTCCATGCCCCCGCATCTGAAGAGAGCCCTTCTGCAGGGACTTGGCAAACCCTTTTTATCTGGTTCTTTCTGTTATAATGCAAATCAAACAACTTGAACAAAATGGAGGAAAACTGGTAAATTTTCTGATATGGGTTTCTGAAATTATCTGATTGTTAGTTTTGAATTTACCTTCTTTTAGATCGAAAATTATGAGATTTGGCAGTTTCAGAATTGTTACTGGCTGCAGTAATAACGCTAGTGACAGAGGCAGCATTAGACTGCTTTGGTTGTTGCTGTTGTTCTTTGGACGAGCCGATAGAAGAAAGCGAAGATAAAGGCGTGATCTGTGGTGAAAGCGGAAGAGATTTGGGGAAGAAAGACTTGTACAGTTCTTCCATGGAATTTCTAGCTTGGAGTTGATTTGGAGAAGACAAAGCATTACCCTGTAAAGTTTCTTGACACCAAACGAAGAAAAACAAGACCAAGGGCACAAATCCACCTTAAAATAACTGTTTGCAGCACCAACGGGGCTGGTTGTCGCGACGGCGGCGCAGCCTCTGACTACCGCATGCAAATCCCAATCAACATCCATGAGACCAGTATCGTTTTCTCTCTATTTATGAATCAGCAGCTCAGCTGATTTATGTACCGAGAAACTAGAGAAAAGAGATGGAAAGAAGAAGACAAAACAAGCCGCTGACTTTTAATGAAAATGTGTCAGAGTGGGGTTTAGCAATTATATATTATAATTAAGATGCGGAGGAGATGATAGAGATATATTGTTGGCGAAATTGGGAATCTCAAAGTTATTATGTTGTCATTTTCCTTTCTAAAACTACACGGAAAACCGCTTCTAGACACTGTACAATCAAAACTGTCAGTCGTCTCTTCACTGTTGTATTCCTTTCTGTTGTTCATCTTATACGTGCGTAGCTCCTGAATTAAAAAAAAAAACAAAGTGAATTTAATATCTATTTTTATTTAGATTATAAAATTTTAATTACATTATATTATATAACTTTTATTATTGACAAAATAAATTACTTATACTAATATTAAATAATTTAAGTTTGTTTCGTTAAACATTTTATTGTATTTAAATCGATATCAATTTATATTAATGTGTATTGATATGTATCAAATGATATACAATTTAATTCTTAAATCATTTTTATCTTTTATAATCACATTTAGGGAAAATTATTGGATTTAATATGTAATTTCATTTTTTTTTCAGATAAGTATAATTATATAAGTAATGGAAGTATATTTGTTTTATATATAATATATGTTAAAAATATTAAAGGATAACGATAAACTCGTTACGATATACATTAAAACACAACAATTATAATATCTACTAGTATCATAGAAAAAATATATTTTCATGTATCCAACACTAATTATATTTATCCAATTATTATAAGATGGTCCGTAGAATGCAACATTATATGACGTTTTATTAGGAATGTTAGATTATTTTGTTCGATCTTTTTACTATGAATATAATTTCCTGGTATTTAGACAATGAAATATAAGATTATTTAAATATATATTTTATTAAATTGTTTTTGTGATATGATTTTTAAACAAGTTAAACTTAATAATATTTTTTGAATAGTATGGGTGTTATTATAAGATATTGTATGTTCCGAATTTATCTTAGCCATTGATAATGTATACAAATCTTACAGGTACAACTACTAAAATTCAAATCTTTTAAAGAGAATAAATATTCTCTTTTACGACTGAAGCTGCTCAATAAATTCATATCCTAACAGTGATAGATCTATAAATATACAATTATTTTTATATGGGGTGAATAGAAATGAAATTTCAGGAATGAAAAAATCAATAAAATAAAATACAAATTTAAATTATTCACCTTGAACTAAGCAGGGATCTGTCACTGCCTTCTAATATATATTAAAAGAGAAGGGGGAACGCAGGAGATTAAATTGGGCCTATTAGTTGTTCTATGCATCCATAAGACCCATGAGAACCCGGCTAGGAAAAAGTGTGGGTCTTGCTAATACAAAGCCCAACCACAAACCAACCATTATAGAAAATGTTTTCATATTTCTCAAAAACGAAAGAAGAATTTTTTACATCCCTTTCTTCTCCCCTTTGATCTTCTTTTCGTTTTCAAGAGAGCGAAACGATCAGAGTATTTACTGTCAAAGAAAATGTAGCTGCCTTTCCTGAACCCTGGCCCAGATGATTCTCTAATGTTCGTCTTCTTTATTTTTCATATCAGCATTCCTTCTCGCGTTCCTTTCTGTTTCCGTAAATTTCTTATAGTTTTCTTTCTTAGTGTGTTGTTGCTGTTCTAGTTTACGCAGATTGACGAATTTAAACACTGAATCAGAAAGTTGCGTTTACAAAAATACTCATCGAATTCAAATTCAAAATCTCGTAATTCAGTTCATCGTTACCGATTACCAAATTCAAAATCCGATGATTATTCGATTTTATTTTGTTTTATTTCCTAATTAGAAAAGTGCACGTGTACCGCACGTGAGCTCGGTTAATTTCCCGCCTTCGTGGCGCCTTTTACAATTTTATTTTTCGAATTCCGCTCCATTTTTCTCCCCGATAAAAATAGAAAGGGAGCGAGAAACTAAAATGAAAATTTAGAGAGCAGCCAAGTAGTCTGAGAGAGAAACCGGAGAAATGACCGGCGGCGACAACTCCTTTTCCAAAACCATATGCTCCATCTGCTACGAAGATCTGAAACCCATTGTCGAAGATCTCCAATCCATCTCCATTTGCGGCCATGTCTTCCACGAGCTATGGTTAGTATTTATACACACGTTTCTTAGTTAACATTCAAATTGATTTATATTGAAACTTCGTTTCCCCCTTCCTTTTGGAACCGTATAGTCTGCAGCAGTGGTTTGAATACTGTTCAAGTTCTACAAAGAAGTACAATTGTCCTGTGTGCAAGCAGATTTGTGTTGGGCACAATGCGACTCGTCTTTATTTCCAATCAGTTGGAGATCAATCCCAATCGTTATGTTCCCAAAAGTTGATCGATCGCGAGGAAGATGCGGAGTCATTACGCATTGAAGTGAAGAGGTTGCTGGTCAAAGTTTCGGGGCTTAGTTCAGCTTTGGAACATCAAGAGAAGGAACACAATCAGATCAACGAGGAGGTACATCTTGGTTCGCTTTTTGTATAAAATGGATTTAGAATTGAAGTTTTCGATTTTTTTCCTTTCAAGTTCTCTAATAATATGCTTCTGGTTTCTTAGCTGTGTCTTTGCAAGGAGCAGATGAAGCGGGAAATGGCCTTGAAAAACGAGGCCTTAAGAGAAAAGGCATCCATTCAACAAAGGCTCAGTTCTAAATCAGAGGTGACTATCATGTATACCATTAGAAGAAAAAAGTATTTTCTTTTATTGATATATTTAAGTGATTATGAATAAATTTTATTGGGTGATTGTAATCTAGGAGCTTAGTAAATCAAATTCGGAATGTTCAAGGCTGGAGCAAAGGAATTTGGCACTAGCCAAGGAACTTGCTGTACTAAAATTGTGAGTTCATTTATCGTTTTACTACTGTTATGTCAAAATGCCAATCAACCCGTTTATAAAATATTACAGTCATATTAATTCGAACACACTAACTAAACCCAAATCAATTTCATTCCTAAACCATGGTTTGTCTTCTTTAGCCCCATGGAGTGCCTTCTACATATTCCTACAACCCTCACATCTTCTTTCTCTCATATTATGTTTTAAATAATGATGTTTTCTGCTTACTTGTTTCTACGGTTTATGATAGAGTGACAGATTTGGATCTGGAGCAAGACGAAATGTTAAAGCTTGCCTCACTAGGTAATGAAGGGAGCAGCCAAGATGTTGTAGATAATCTTATTAGGTCATTGTCCTGTCACAAAAAGTAAGTTGGTTACATCCACTGAAATAGTCTATATGCTTACCTTTTTCAATCTAAACTGTACAAATCTAGCTGTGTTTTCTATATTCAGTTAATTTTTGCTAAGTTAAGTTGCTGACTAAGATTTATCAATACATTTTGGAAGTTGGCTATTGTCTATGAGCATGCATTCACTACAGGGCGATTCTAATTTTTCCTCATAGTAGCGGAAAGAACTATCACAGTCATATCCTATCTATCTCAAACACTGAAATATGTACTGGGTCATTGGATGGTGGTAGGATAGTGGTTGGAACAAAAGAAAATGGGGAATTATGATAACATCTTTCTCATGATATCTAATTCAATGCACAGATTATAAGACAAGGAAAGAAAAGAGGTTTCTTTTATGGGGAATTATGATAACATCTTTCTTATGTTCTGGATTTGTTGTGATATTGGGCGTAGTTTTTCTTTTCTTTCAATAAGTCAAATTGTTGTAATTATCTTTTCCGTTTCATTTTTCATTATGGATCCGTCATATTAACTTGTACACAGTTTTGACAATTCTTGAACTTCAACAGGAGTTATAAAGAATTGATGGCTAAGTGCAATCTTCTTGGTAGAGGTGAAGCTCGTTTGCAGAAGAAACTTGATAAAGCAAAAGCAAAGATAGACAAACTGAAAGTGAGTCTGCCATGATGCATTATGAATATCTTGTTCCATTACTTCTTTCATATTGCTGAAAAGCTCTGCTTTATGGTTTCATCAGAAAAGAGTCCAGGAACTGGATGCACTGATTGAAGTGAAAGATAATGAAGTCTTGAGGGCTCTTAAAGCTTCTAAGACTGATAGTGAAGGGGGTTTTTTGATCTTGGATGGCAATTCTGATTCTTCAAATGCCAAAATTTCTTCAAAAGAACAGCTGATGCAACGACCTGTTTTACCTTCAAATAACTTGGATGTGAGTGCAATATCACCCAAACATTTACCAAGTTCATTGAAAAAAAACATCCCTCTTGATAGTCCTAAGGCTGCCAATTATGGTAGAGAAGGATGTTCAAGTATTGCGGTTCCCGTTGGAGAGAGAAACATGGCTGAGGATCGGTACATTTATTCAAGTCCTGATTTGAAGTGTCAAAATCGTGAGCATATTGCTCAAGATTCTGCAACACCAATGCCGAAGCCAGTGTCTGATATTTATGTGGAAGCTGCGACAGTGGTTGGGTTTTCAGGATCAAGAACTTGTTCAAATATTGATGATAGTGCCACAGTTGCTTCTTCCCTAAAGCCCATATTCAACATTAAAACTGCAGCTCCTTCAATTATACTTTCTGAACAAGGTATGTTATCATGGCAATTTAAGTTTTATAAGTAGGTTTCTAAGTATTGATAGTGCATTGATCGGCCTACCTTTCACAACTTCATTTCTTAACAGAATTTATTTTTGGCATTCTTACATTTTTTTGGAACATTTGAATACCTCCAGGGAATATTTGTTTCTCTGGTGGGTTGCTAGGTCCTGATGGAACAAGGCGACATTTAGGAAAATGGTGCAAGCGAAGTAAAATGCTTGGTTCAATGCACGCAGAAGGTTCAACTAAAAATAGTGGTGATTTAATTGCTGTTGGTGCTGATGGAAGAGGTGGTAAAATTAAGGTTTTGCGATCTGTGAATCAATCTTCTCTGGTGGGTTCAAGTAGTCTTTATCGCTATATTTATTTGAATTTTTTTGTTTCATATTAGTATCTATCCGGCAAAAAGTATAGATAAACTTAATGATCACATTTTATCTTTAGCAATACTGATAGAACATTATAATGATTTTGATAAATTGTACCCAATCATCACAAGTATGGTGTCTGGTTCTTGCCTATTTTTCTACCGTACATAACTACTGATTTTATTCATCAATGCAGGATAATAAGGAGAACTCAGTTAGCATAAAGAGATTAAAATGTGAAGCCAAACAAAATACTTTGCAGTCTCAAGGATGTTTGCAGATAGAGCACTTCTTTGGAAAGGCTCGCCACTAATTGAAAGTTGAAGGCACATCCCATGGTGATTGGTAAGTCCTCAAAGACTTTACAACAAACGAGAACAGCGGTTAGATTGCAACTTTGTTAACTGACATTAACCTTTTTAGTTCTAAGTGTTAACCTGCCATCTAGAATCTAATGAGACGGCAGACTGATTATAGTTGATACCAAACTGCTATATAAAGAAGGGTGTCAGGTCCACAACCCAATGCAGCAAATGGTTGATATTGTTTAATTCTAGTGGTATGCACATGATAGAGTTGGTGTTAATTCATTAATACTATTTAAACCTCGAGATAATTAAGTTTATGAATTGATATCGGTTTCATTTATGGAATTGTATTATGGTTGTGTTTATAGGCTTAAGGGGAAACAACCAATCAGCTTAAAGAATCCCCTAGGTTTTATCTTGGAGCATGAAAAAACCTATAGGTGTAGAAAGCTTAAAATTCTCATATTGTTATGTTTTAATGCGCCAGCTGGAACTACTTGTGAATAATGCAACAAAGCCGAATGGAATTTGATTTGGCCTACAACGTAAAACGTGTGAGCAGGTGGGCTGTTGCCACTGGCTAGTATCATGAAGAAAAGATGGCTATGCTGTCCTTTTCTTTCGGCTTGCCTTTGACACATGGATTACGCATTTTAGTGTTGCAAGAATTTCGATGGCTTTTACAGGCAACGTTTTGAAACATGCAACTGGTGTAGAAACATGTCAGTTTTGCTGTGCTTGAAATGCAGGGTGGTGGGCTTTTCAAATTTTCATTGAAAACACGTGTTTTGATTCTTCTCTAGATTAGGCCATAGGGATTTGGTTTTATTGCTAAGCTTATGTTAATGACATATTCAGTGACGGATCTAAAAATATTTTTAAAGGTAAGAATGCATATATTAAAAACATAAAAATTTTAAATGAGATAGGCACAAATAAAATTTTAGGATAGACACTCTCAATAAAAATAAGTAATTAATAGAAGAAAATTTAGATTTCGTGTCTAAATTACAGATATGTCACTGAGTAGGTTTATAAAATATTTTAGGAGGTTGAAAATATATTATCAAAAAACTATAAATTATATAAAATTTAAAATTTTTAAGAGATATTGCTTTGTTAACTAATTGATCCTTAAATATATGGTTATTATTGAGATTTACGTTTCTTCAGGAATTTTTGTTTTAAATTAAGGCTGTCAGTATCTAACCGGTACATGTATTATTTTTATATTTATACGTACTGAAATTAGTGTATTTTAATGTATCTTTTCGAATTTGTTGGGGTATATATATATATATATATATATATATATCTAAAACTATATCCAATAACAAGTATGGATATTCTAATGAGTTTTTGAACCATGGTATGCCATTGCGGGGGGGTGCAAGTCTATCTGATTTTATTTAAAATCACATTTTTTGTTTAGCTCTTCACCTCTTCAGGTAATATATTATTTAATAATAAATTATTGTATTCATAATTTCAAGCCATGAAGACAATTTTGACTGCCTGATTGAATTTTTTTTTTGTCAAACTGTTTTTTTAGTTAAATTTAATTTTCAGATAAATTTGATTTTTTTTTAAAGAAAACTGCTGATAAAATATTCAATTTCTGACGATTTTAAGATATACATTACGTGATAATTTATATATTATACATTAGATAAATTATACAAATGATCCTTTAATTATAGGACATTATTTTATTGAGTCATTCGAATATTAAAAGTTATAAAATTATCTCTCGACTATAGGACGATGTTTGGTCGAGTCATCGACTATTCATATGTTTCAAACTTATTTTTTTCCATTAAAAATTGATAGTTGTTTAAGTTGGGCGTTAATCTATTGATTGAAATATGATAAAATCATATTTTAATGATGTATACCGACATTGTTGTTGCTTTCAAGCATTAGCTTAAGAATATAATATAAATAAAGACTCGATCCATGAAATATAGGTCAAACAGTTTCGAGATCATATTTTTATTACATCCCAGTGAACAGGTTAATGTCTAACTCAAACGACTATCGGTTTTTAACGGAGAATGATGAGTTTGGAACATATAAATAATTATGTGATTATTTTATAACGTTTAATAGCTGGTGGACTTAATAAAACATCGTCTTATAGTCACTAAATTATTTTATAACTTTTAATAATTAGATGATTCAACAAAATTATACTCTATATTTGAAAGAACATTTGTATACCATATATATTATGCTCTTATACACCAAGAGAAGTTTAAAAGGGGGAATTGTACTACATGCTGTCATCCCAGAAACTGCTGTAAGCGTGGCATTGTGGGATGACTTGAACAGAAATATGAGAAGAGGCGGAAAACAAAATAGCAAGGAATGGAGGACAACCGGACAGGCGGGTCTAAGTGGACAGCTAAAAAGCAAAAAAACAAACATTTTCCAGATACGCTTACGCTCACATTCAAATTTGTGAGTCATCACCCACCTAATCGGTTGACCAAGTTCTGGAACTATTAGGGATGTAAACGAGCCGAGTCGAGTTCGAGTATTGCTGAGCTCGACTCGACTCGAAAACTCTGAAATGAAGCTCGACTCGACTCGAAAACTCGTAAGTTTAAAATTTTCAAGCTCGACTCGAACTCGAAATCCTGAGCTGAAGCTCGTGAGTAGCTCGAAAAGGCTCGAAATGAAAAAAAAAATTCTTAAACTTAACTTAATTAAAGCCTCAAACTCGAACATTAACCTTAAATACATGAAATCTTATTGTATTTAAAAAAAATCAATACATAAATATTAATATTATTATTAATTTATTTTTTAAAAATAAAATCTTAATATATTATATTTTCGAGCTGCTCACGAGCTTTTCGAGTCGAATATCGAGTAGCTCGTTTTAGCTCGTTAAGAACTCGAGCTCGAGCTCGAGCTCGAGTCGAGTCCATTCAATCCGAGTATTTATCGAGCCTTGATCGAGTCGATCTCGAATAGCTCGCGATATATCTCGTCTCATTTACAACCCTAGGAACTAGAGATGCACAGAATCCGGATTTCAATCCGATCCGGATCGGATAAAAACCGATCCGGTTTTTTCTCCCAACCCAAAAACCGGATTTTAAAAAACCGGTTCGGATCCTAACCGGTTTGGAGGGTCGGATGGTGTAACCGGTGTAACCGGTTTCGGTTTGCAAAAAACCGGTTTTTAAAAAAAAACCGGATTTTTTCGGTTAAAAAACCGGTTTTTTATCCGGTTTGAAAAAAACCGGTTTTTAATCCGGTAAAAAAACTGGTCGTTCAATTTTTTCTCAAACCGGTTATACTATCCGGTTTTTAAATATCCGATCCGGTTTAAAATAAACCGGTTTTTTCAAAATCCGGTTTCAGATATTTTTTTTACCCAAAATCGAATATTCGGATTTTTTGTGCACCTCTACTAGGAACTATATTGCTTCATTCTCTTACATTTCATTTCCTCTGTTTTTTAATTAATAAATAAATAAATAAAATACTACCGAGAAATCATAAACCATATAGTATTTTAATGCTTTTTGTCAACATTATTTATTATACTTGTTTTAAAATAAAATAACTCAAAAATATTTTCAGTATATTTTTTAAAAAATAATATCAAACTATAATGTATAATTGTTAGGTGAGATTAATAAAACTAGCATCAACGTTGATGATGAAAATAATTTACATAAAATTTGATACCCCTCACACTAATAACCCTCAGGGTGCGTTTGGTTTACAGAATGTAAGATTATCGGCGGGAATAAGATTACCGGCGGAAATAAGATTACTGGAATATTGCATTGTTGTGTTTGATTCGTTTAGCATGAATGTAAGATTACAGTGTTTGGTTAAAGGAATAAAAGATTATTAGAATGTATATTTTACCAAATTGTCCTTATTATATATTTATTTTTTTAACAAGTTGAATTCTACTATAATTTTACTATGCTTAATATATATATATATTTTTTAAAATTTATATAATTTTATTTTACAGAATTAAAAAGATAAATAGATTTAATGGAGGGTAAAATTTTATTTTAAACCCTGAACTTCATATAAAATTCTAATTATGATTTTTTTGTAAATCTAAAACAGTTTAAGGATAAATTTGTAATTTAACCTTCTTATAATTTTTTTTATTCAATGACAGAAAAATGATATTTTTGAAAAAAAAATTAAGGGCATTTTAGTCAAAAACGCTGGGAATGTAATAATACCTAAGGGAAGGGGATAATCACATTTCCGATAATATACCCCCAAAATACCACTGTTGGGAATAATTTATTACCGGGGTTTGGGAATGTTTGCCAACCAAACGGGGGAATGTCATTCCATTATCATCGGTAATCTAATATGACCTGAACCAAACGCCCTCTCAGTCTCTTCATCTTCTTCAACCTACATACAACCTCCTTCTCTACTGCACTTATCTTACAAAAGAAGATGCGGTGATTCTGTCATAGGAGGGAAAGTATGACTATAGGGGGGAAAAAGAGTGATCTTGATGGGTCTGGAACTCATGACCTAAAAAAAATGAGAAAATAAAAATGAACAACTTGACTAAGTATACTTACTCAAATGAAAAATTAAATTTATATATTCAATTATAAGATACAATCATGATAAAAAGTAATATATATTTTAATATGCTATGATTATGATTTATCGTTAAGAAACATAATAAAATTCATTAAGCAATCTCATTATTAAAAGGACGTATTGTTCCCCTTAAAGATATTAGATTCGAACAGTTGTGTCTACAGAGGGTATGTGCTTTCAATGATAAAAAAAGATCTTATGAATATATATTACTTTATAATCAATTTAAACTATTTAAATAAAAATAATTTATAGGATATAAAATCTCAACATTTACCCACCCAACCGGTGTTATGTCATGTAACTAACTAAGAAAATGTGGTAAGAGTAGAGAGTGGTGTTATCCATATAACAAAGAGAAGCAATGCACAGCACATTGTTTACGTTTCAAAGTCAAAATCTGAAATACGTTTGAAGAGTCGTCGGCTTTACTCCTTCCCCAAGCAAAAAAGCATCCCCAACGTCAAAAGAAATTAATTTCCCACGGATTTATCAATGCTTCCTTGACTTTAGTATTTAATTAATATAATCACCAAGTCATTTGAAATTACATAAAAACCAAATCAATGTGGATATATGTAAAGAAGAGGTTGCCGCTTTTCATACATACCAACGTATATTCACATCTGAAACTGGATTAGTGAAAAGCTGCCTCCCCCACCGTCATCACGATAGATCGAAGGAGGGTAGGTCATGAAAATTTTAATTTTTCGTACAGTTTAATTTTTTTCATTTATAAGTAATTTTATTTTTTAAAATTTTATAAACTCGTCTCATAATATAAAATATTACGTTTTTTATGGCCACCACCCGCCCAATGTTACAACAAAGGACTCCCACATGTTCTATTATGTTGATCAAATTCTTTCTTCCCTTTTTGTTTAGAAAAAAAAATATTGTGTTT